ACAAGAGCAAGACTCTTCTCTCAAAAAAAAAAAAAAAGGCCAGGCATGATGGCTCACCCCTGTAATCCTAGCACTTTGGGAGGCCAAGGTGGGTGGATCACTTGAGGTCAGGAATTCGAGATCAGCCTGGCCAACATGGTGAAACCCCATTTCTACTAAAAATACAAAAAATTTGCTGGGCATGGTGGCGTGTGCCTGTAGTCCCAGCTACTCAGGAGGCTGAGGCAGGAGAACTGCTTGAACCCAGGAGGTGGAGGTTGCAGTGAGCTGAGGTCATGCCACTGCACTCCAGCTTGGGTGACAGAGTGAGACTTCTTCTAAATAAATAAAGATAAAACAAAATACAAGGCTATTGTTTCCTGAATAAAAATTAATCAGATATGTATCGAGTGCCTTCGTTACGTTTAACAGATGTTTGTGTGGCTTAACTATGAGCTGCGCACTGTTATAAGCCCTTTACAAACATTACTTAAATCCTTCTTTTATTATCCCCATTTTATTATTTATTTATTATTAATATTGTTTTGAGATAAAGTTTCGCTCTTGTTGCCCACATTGGAGTGCAATGGCACAATATCAGCTCACTGCAACTTCCGCCTCCCGGGTTCAAGCAATTCTCCTGCCTCAGCCTCCCAAGTGGCTGGGATTTCTTCATGTTGTTGGTCAGGCTGGTCTCAAACTCATGACCTCAGGTGATCTGCCCACCTCGGCCTCCCAAAGTGCTGGGATTACAGGCGTGAGCCACTGTGCCTGGCTTATTATCCCCATTTAAAAAAATGTTATGTTTCTCTTTGCCATAAAGATAACCACCATAAAATAGTATCCCCATTTTACAGATGAGGCAGAAAGAGGTCAGTGAAGTAACTTGCCACGAACAAGTTCCAGGCCTTGGGATAGGGCCTGCCCGTCCTTCAGTGTCTCTTCAAAAGAGCTCCTGCTCTGGAAAGCCTTCCCTGACCTCCCTGGCAGAGGGAAGTCCCTTCCCCAACAGATGTGTCCCACACGCCCTGGGTTGTAAAATCCTCCCAGCTGAGGTTTGGCTCCCATTCAGTTGTGGATGGCAAGTCAGCAGCCAGTCAGCCCTGCCAGCAACTTACTGGCCTCTTTTTCTGCTTTCATCTGTAGCCCCCTGGAGGTACCCTGAGGAGGCCAGGCCTCATATGGCCTAATCCCTAATATGAGGGATCCACGTGATGGAAGGACCTAGAGTGAAGGGTCCTCATCCTTCAGCAGCTGGAGATCTGAGCATCCGCCCAAACTCAGCAGATGTGGGAAAGAACTGGGGACAGGGTAGGGGCTGGGCACAGTGGCTCACTCATACCTGTAATCCTAGTACTTTGGGAGACCCAGGCAGGCAGATCACTTGAGGTCAGAAGTTCGAGACCAGCCTGGCCAACATGGTGAAACTCTGTCTCTACTAAAAAAAAAATATAAAAATTAGCTGGGTGTGGTGGTGTGCACCTGTAGTCTCAGCTACTCCGGAAGCTGAGGCAGAAGAATTGCTTGAACCCAGGAGGCAGAAGTTGCAGTGAGCCGAGATCTCGCCACTGTACTCCAGCCTGGCAACAGAGTGAGACTCCATCTAAAAAAAAAAAAAAAAAAGAATTGGAACAGGAAGTCAGTGTATCCTGGCTTCTCCCAAAACAATGATGTGACTTTCCCTTCCCTATACCTCAGTTTCCTTATTTGTTTTTTTTTAAAGACGGGGTTTTGCCATATTGGTCAGGCTGGTCTTGAACTCCTGACCTCAGGTGATTCACCCGCCTCAGGCTCCCAAAGAGCTGGGATTACAGGTGTGAGCCACCTCGCCCAGCTACCTCAGTTTCCTCACTGATAAAATGATGAGGTTGGCTGGGGAGAGCCCTCAAGGAACCCAGGGCAGGTCCTATGGGAATGAGCAAAAAGCATTGTTTCTCAGGAAAGTTGTAGGGTTCCTGGGTGGCAAGTTGCCTGCTGGACCTTAATTCATTAATTGAGCATCTATTATGTGAAGGCAGTGTCTGAGGCACTGGGGATACTTCAAAGAACCTGTCCTGCCATGCAAGAGCTCACTTGGTAGCTATGGTATTTGGGAGGCCTCAGAGCCTCCACCCACTGGGGCTGCTGGCTTTTTACTAATGGACCAGGTCCTTCCAAGCAGGGTGTGGAGCAGGGTGTGGTGAGGCCTGGAAGAGAGAGGTCGTGTTCACCCTCCAGCTCTGCCCCTCCTGTGGGGTGACCTGCTCGTCTCGGCATTAGTTTCCTCACCCTCTTTTATGGACTAAAAGTTTGTGTCCCCCGAAAACTCACACTGAAGTGCCACCTCTCAATAAGATGGTATTTGGAGGGAGGCCTTCAGGAAGTCATTAGGTTTAGATGATGTCGTGGGGGTGGGACCCTTCAATGGGATGAGTGTCCTTATGAGAAGGCAGAGAGATCAAGTGAGAACACAGGAAGAGTGCCACCATCTTCCAGCCAGGAAGAGGCCTTGCCAGGAGCCAAACCTGCCAGCACTGTGCTCTTGGACTTCTCAGCCCTCAGAACTGCAAGAAATAAAAGCCTGTCATTAAGCCACCCAGTTTCTGGTATCGCATTATGGCAGCCTGAACTAACTGAGACGCCATCCAAGGGGGAGTCAGACTGGATGGTCCCAGCAGCCCGGGAGGACATCCGCCTCTGGGAAGAGTCTCCTACAGCCATTCCAGTTAAATGTTACCTGCTCCCACGCCACGCCTCCCTGCCACTCCCTCTCCCAGCCACCTCCTCAGGGAGCCATAAACGCTGCCTTCTTTGGTCTTCTCCCAGGACTGTGGCGTTCTGAATAAAGCTGTGTCACCTCTGCTGGAAGCCAGGGTCTAGAGGGGAAAGACTGGGGGTCCAGGGTAGGGGGGACCCTCAGGCTCTAGCCCCTACACACACACACACACACACACACACACACACGTGTTTCTTCTTAGTCCCATCATGCACAGGGCTCCTGCAGACCATCCCAGGGGAGCTCATGGGCTGGGTTAATGAGCTCCTCAGGTGCCTGCCTCAGGCAAGATGCCTTTCTGGTTTCTGGGAAAAAATAATTAAGAGAAACAAGGATGGCCTCACTGCGTGGGGCCATCTGCCCCCAGTCTCTCAGCCTCTGCCCCCAGTCCCCTCAGAGGCAAGGAGGACAAGGCCCAGCTGTCATGCCCAATCCTGCCCACCCAGGCATTTTAAATCAGGAGCCTGCATTAGTAATACTAGAATCCAGAATATGACACCGAAAATCTCAGGAGGGGAATCCTTGCCACATAGCACTTTACAGTATCCCAAGAGCTTTCTTCTCATCTCATTCCTCCCCATCTTCAAAACAACTGTCAAATAGATATCATTTCTTTGTGATCGCCAAAACACTGAGGCTCCAGGTGATAAACTGGGTGAGTGCAGTTCCAGGACCCAGAGTCACATCTTTTGACTCTGAAACCCAGACTTGTTTTATGCCTGGTTCTAGGGATAGCAGGGGACTGCTGCTTTCCACACCTCTGCTCACAACAGACATCACTAATCGGTCACGGTTTGGCGGATATTGCTAATCAATTGCAGTACTCTTTTTTACTAAGCTCAGAGGCGTGCATGAACTCTTTAAAACAATGTTCAGCCACCATCACCTATCAGAAGATCACCCTCTGTATGTTTGCCATTCTTGTGATCCCACATCATTAGCATGAGCCCTCAGGTCTTAGGTGCAGCCCCCAAATGCCGTAGTCACTGGACTGCAGGACCCTGCATACGGCATGCATGCTGTCCTTGACGTTACTGGCTCCTCTTTACAATATCCCAAGAGCTACTGGCCCCTCTGGCCCCCAGAGGCCCCATTCAAGTGTGGTCTCTCTTAGAGATACGACAACCATGCAGATACGCCTGGGGCTTCAGGCTTTGCTTTATTTTTACTTTTAAAATTTTGATTATTTATTTTTTTGAAACAAGGTCTTGCTCTGTTGCCCAGGCTAGAGTGCAGTGGCAAGATCATAGCTCACTGTAGACTTGAACTCCTATGCTCGAGTGATCCTCCCATCTCAGCCTCCTGAGTAACTGGGAATTCAGGTGTGTGCCACCATGCCCCACTAATTTTTTGTATTTTTATTAGAGATAAGGTCTTGCTGTGTTGCCCAGGCTGATCTCAAACTCCTGAGCTCAAGTGCTCCTCCTGCCTTGGCCTTCCAGAGTACTTGGATTACAGGCATGAACCACGCACCCAGCCTAACAGAACTGTTTTTATCCCCACTTTACAGATTTGGAAATGGAAACGCGGATGAAATTATGAACCCAAGTCACGTAGCTTGGAAGCCAGGCTCCTAACCACTGGACATCAATCTTTCCACTGCCGCTCGGTCTGTTGTATGAAAACAGTCATGTATCCATCTGTTCTATCGAAGGCATTGCTTGTTTTTGCAGATATGCTTCAATAGTGGTCTCAGAAGGTTTGGGGGTGGTTGTATTATCTGGCTTAGTTCCTGCTGTGAGCCTGGGAGTATGTAGTTGTACCATCCTCCGGCCCATACCCTTACAGATGAGAAAATTAAAGCTCAGAGAAGGAGAGTCACTTTCTGAAAGCTGGACAGCTCCAATGTGGGCTGTGATCTGGAGTTCCCCAAATTCCAGAGCCCAGAGGCTCTCTCTTACCTCACAGGAGCCCTCAGTCCCCACTGGCTTCTCCTCTCAGCTCAGTCCCTGGCTGCCTGTCCTTTCTCCCCTGGAACACCCTCCCCACACCTGGCCTTTGGTTTTCCATCCTCTCCACGCTCCACTGTCCTCTTTCCAGAGAAGGGGCCCAACCGGAAGGCCAGTTCATATTAGGAAATTCTAGCCACGTGAACAGCCCTAAGCCAGGGATTCTGGGCAGCTGGTGGCTTTAGGAGAAACTGAAACTTGGTTCTCTGGGGGCGGGCGGAATGGTCACTGGGGATTTAAAGAGCTGTCGCTTCCTCAGGCCTCCAGAGGGCACTGGGAAGTCACAGCTGCTGAGGGACGCCTCTGCTCCCCCGCTTAAGCCATGCACCTCTGCGGGGGCAACGAGCTGCTGACCCGGACAGTGAGTACAGGGGATTGGAGATGGGGGAGCAACCCAAGGATCCCCAGTGCCAGGCAGTGAGGGCTACAGGTGGGAGGGCCTAGTCCCAGCTCTATAATCTGAGCTGTGTGACAGAGGGCTCCACATGCCCTTCTCTGGGTCTCACTTTCCTCCCCAGGGGACTGGAAATGAGGCATTTCCAGCTCTCATGTTGCAGGTCCAGCCTCTGGTTTAGGACTTGGCCTCTATGTACTTGCCCTCTCCTAACATACCTGTTCCCCCGCTACTACCCTCACAGGAGCCTTTCCTTCCTTCTCCAAATAACCCAGGCCTGCTGGGCGTGGTGGCTCACGCCTGTAATCCTAGTCCCTTGGGAGGCCAAGACGGGTGGATCACATAAGGCCAGGAGTTCGAGACCATCCTGGCCAACATGGTGAAACCCCATCTCTACTAAAAATACGAAAATTAATCGGGCGTGGCAGCGCACGTCTGTAGTTTCAGATACTCGAGAGGCTGAGGCAAGAGGATTGCTTGAACCCAGGAGGCAAAGGTTTCAGTGAGCTGAGATTGTGCCACTGCACTCCAGCCTGGGCAACAGAGAGAGATTCTGTCTAAATAAAATAAAATAGGCTTGGCACGGTGGCTCACACCTGTAATCCCAGCACTTTGGAAGGCTGAGGCAGGTGGATCACGAGGTCAGGAGATCGAGACCATCCTGGCCAACATTGTGAAACCCCGTCTCTACTAAAAATACAAAACTTAGCTGGGCGTGGTGGCACATGCCTGTAGTCCCAGCTACTCAGGAGGCTGAGGCAAGAGAAACGCTTGAACCTGGGAGGTGGAGGTTGCAGTGAGCTGAGATCATGCCACTGTACTCCAGCCTGGGCGACAGAGAGAGACTCTGTCCAATAAAATAAAATAAATTCCCTGTGCCATGGTTTCCTTTGGAGGCTCTGCTTGTCTCACAGGAGCCCCTGTGAAAACTCACCGTGGGTCCTGTCTCAGCCTCTTGTCTCTTGGTGCCCCAGTGTCTACAGTGAGCCTGCCGTGGACACGGCCCAGGGAGCATATGGCCAGGGTGCAGCTGTGGGAGGAGCCTAGGAGCATTCAGAATCTGCGGCCAGGGCGGCCATGGCCTTGGCTGAGGTCCTTGCCCTCAGAACACACAACCCCAGAGAGACCTGGGGGAAGGGGCTGGGCTGTGAGCGCTCCAGCAGTTCCTCTTGCTCTGACTTTGCAGAGCTTTAGACATTTGGATAAAATATTTCATCTAAGTTTCATTGACCCCAGGGTACAGGGTGGTCACAACTGTCAACCTTTGAGTCCCCTCTTCCGCCAGAATGAACATTTCATTCATTCATTCTTGGCTACCACCTCACTAGAATGTGAGCACTTTGAGGGCAGGGATTTGTGTATATTTTCTTTGCTATCATGTCCCCCTAGCTTAGTGCCTGGAACATAGTAGGTGCTTACACATGCTTGTTGAGTATACGAATATCTGCTTTGGGCTTGAGCTGGGCATGGGCACAGGGAACCAGATCTCCCTTCACGGAGCTCACAGGAAAGTCTACACCTTGGTGTGGAGATCATGACAATGAGAAGAATGGCAGCTGAGCTTCATGCCACGCTGTCTCTGGGCTGCCTGCCACATGGGCTTTCCCCCTCTGCTGTGGTGCTTCCATTGCAGGGATAGGGCGACTGGGTTCAAGAATGTGGGCTTGGCCGGGCACGGTGGCTCACACTTGTAATCCCAGCACTTTGGGAGGCTGAGACTGGTGAATCACCTGAGGTCAGGAGTTCGAGACCAGACTGGCCAAGATGGTGAAACCCCATCTCTACTAAAAATAACAAAAATTAGCCAGGCATTGTGGCAGGCGTCTGTAGTCCCAGCTACTTGGGAGGCTGAGGCAGGAGAATCACTTGAACCTGGGAGGCAGAGGTTTCAGTAAGCCAAGATCACACCACTGCACTCCAGCCTGAGCAACAAAGCGAGACTCGTCTCAAACAACAAAAAAGAAAAGAAAAGAGAGAGAGAGAGAGAATGTGGGGTTTGAAGTCAGCTCTGTCTGAGTTTGAATCTCAGGCTTCCCATCCTCCCTGCTTTCCCTCCTGCCCCCAATGTGAGCTGTGAGCAAGACACAGGGGTGAGGCTGGCTTGGCAACAGGGTGTGCAGTGCCTGTTATGGGGGTTGTGGGTGCCAAGTGAGCTTCTGGGAGAACAAAGACCCTCAGGAACTTGACTCAAAAGGAAACCCTTAGCTTTATAAACAGCGGGCCAGGATGGAGGGCACCAGGCCAGTCCGGGCCCCCTAAGTCCTCTGCCTCGTGCCCCTCAGGACTTTGAGGAGCATCAGAGGCAGCTGAAGAAGAAGCAGAAGAACCGGGCAGCGGCCCAGCGAAGCCGGCAGAAGCACACAGACAAGGCAGATGCCCTGCATCAGGTGCGGCCAACCCCTTTCCTTGTCTCTGTCTCCACTTACTGGCCCAGCCACCTCTTCTCCACCCCACCTGTGAGCAGATCACCCCCAAACTCCTGTATTTTTCTAGGTCACCTGAGTTTGGGATGAGGAAAGGATCCTGTGGCTGAGATTTGGAAATGTCTGGGTGTTGAGTACAAACCATGTGCTAGGTACACACCAGGCTCCAGGGACACAAAGGGTTATCCTCAGCCCAGCCTTGCCCTAAGGTGCCCACAGTCCAGGGGAAGGAAGACAGGAAGTGGAGGCAAACTGGGAGACACCAACACAATGGCCAGCTGAGGCACTAATTAAAATGCAGATTCTAGGCTGGGCATAGTGGCTCACACCTGTAATCCTAGCACTTTGGGAGACTGAGGCTGGAGGATTGCTTGAGCCCAGGAGTTCAAGACCAGTCTGGGCAAGATAGCGAGACTCTGTCTCTACAAAAAGGAAAAAATAGTTGGGTGTGGTGGTGCACACCTGTAGTCCCGGCTACTCAGGAAACTGAGGCAGGAGGATTGCTTGAGCCCAGGAGTTCAAGGCTGCAGTGAGCCATGATTGCACCACTGCATCCAACCTGGGCAACAGATTGAGACCCTGTCTATAGAAAAAAAAAGTGGATTAATCCTCCTCTGCCAGGTCCCACCTCATAAGGCCAAGTGGGGTCCAGGGACCTGCACGGTGATCTGTGATTAATCACCGTGGGGTCAGAGTTCAGGAGGTGACCAAGATCATACTGTGGGAACTATGGTTCAGGGTCAGGATGGGTGGGGCTTCCAGTCCCAGTTGCAAGTTACTTCCTTTACTGAGCTTCATGCTCATCTGAAAATACCATAGACGGTGACTTAAAAAACAGACATTTATTTCTCCCAGTTCTGGAGGCTGGGAAGGCCAAGATCAAGGCACCAGCCAATTCAGATCAGTTGAGGGTGCTCTTCCTGACTCGTAAGCGGCTGCCTTCTCTCTGCTTGCTCATGGTCTCTCAGTGTACGGGAGAGGACAGAGTGATCTCTTTCCCTTCCTCTCCTTTTTGGTGTTTTTTGTTGTTGCTGTTGTTTTGTTTTTGACAGAGTTTTGCTCTTGTTGCCCAGGCTGGAGTACAATGGCACCATCTCGGCTCACCACAACCTCCACCTCCTAGGTTTAAGCCATTCTCCTGCTTCAGCCTCCCAAGTAGCTGGGATTACAGGCATATGCCACCATGCCCAGCTAATTATTGTATTTTTAGTAGAGACAGGGTTTCTCCATGTCGGTCAGGCTGGTTTCAAACTCCCGACCACCCACCTTGGCTTCCCAAACTGCTGCGATTACAGTGTGAGCCACTGCTCCCTTCTTTTTTTTTTTTAATTGAGACAGAGTCTCACGCTGTCACCCAGACTGAAGTGCAATGGCCCTATCTTAGCTCACTGCAACCTCTGCCTCCGGGATTCAAGCAATTCTCCTGCCTCAGCTTCCTGAGTAGCTGGGATTACAGGCATGTACCACTAGGCCTGGCTAATTGTTGTATTTTTAGTAGAGACGGGGTTTCACCATGTTGGCCAGGCTGGTCTTGAACTCCTGGCCTGAAGTGATCTGCCCACCTTGGCCTTCCAAAGTGCTGGGATTACAGGCATGAGCCGCCATACCCGGCCCTCTCCTTTTTAATTTTTTTATGCATTTATTGTTTATTTACTTCTTATTTATTTTATTTTATTTCTTTTATTTTTATTTTTTAATACAGATGGGGGTCTAGCTATGTTGCCCAGGTTGGACTTGAACTCCTGGGCTCAAGCAATCCTTCCATCTCCACCTCCCAAAGTGCTGGGATTACAGGCACAAGCCACCATGCCTGACCCCTTCCTCTTTTTGTGTGTGTGTTTTTGTTTTTGTTTTTGAGAGGGTCTTGCTCTGTTGTCCAGGCGGGAGTGCGGTCCATGATCTTGACTCGCTGCAACCTCAGCTTCCCAGGCTCAAGCAATCCTCCCACATCAGTCTCCCGAGTAGCTGGGACTATAAGCACGCACCACCACACTTGGCTAATTTTTGTATTTTTTGTGAAGACAGAGTTCCTCCATGTAGCCCAGGCTGGTCTTGAACTCCTGGACTCAATTGATCTACGTACCTCAGCCTCCCAAAGTGCTGGGATTACAGGCTTCAGCCACCGCTCCCAGCCTCCCTTCCTCTTCTTACAAAGCCACCAACCCTATCAGATTAGAACCCTATCCTCTATCCTAGGACCTTATTTTATCTAAATTACTTTCTAAGAGCCTTATCTCTAATTGTAAGCACACTGGGGGTTATGGCTTCAACATATCAATTTTGGAGGAAATGCAGTAGAGTCTATAGCACATAGGTAGCGGCATAAGGGGTGGTCTGAAGAGGAGATGAGCCAGGCTTGGTGGCTGATACCTGTAATCCCAGCACTTTGGAAGGCTGAGGTGGGTGGATCACTTGAGGCCAGGAGTTGAAGACCAGCCTGGCCAACATGGTAAAATCCCATCTCTACTAAAAATACAAAAAATAGCCACACATGATAGCTAATTAATTAGCCAATCCCAGTAGCTGGGATTATAACGTGTGGTAGCTAATTAGCCATGCCAGTAGCTGGGGCATGAGAATTGCTTGAATCTGGAAGGCGGGGGTTGCAGTGAGCTGAGCTTGCGTCACTGCACTTCAGCCTGGGTGACAGAGATTCTGTCTCAGAAAAAAAAAAAGAAGATGAAGTATGAGCTGATCTTTAAAGATGAATGAGTGTTTCCCCAGAGGATGAAGGTAAGAAAACACTCTGGGGACAAATGACACAGTTCTGGCACAGGCGTGGGGAGCAGCACCCTGTAGACTTGGCGAGAGTAAGGACTGGCGCTCAGAATGGTGCCTAGGAGACCCATGCGTTCATTTATTCCCTCCTTCCGGAAACACCGTTGAGTGTCTCCCGTGTGCCAGGCACTGTTCTAAGCACTGGAGATAGAGCTGTGGACACATAGACAAAAACCCGCCCCAGCCCCACCCACAGGGCTCCTATTCTCCTGGGGAAGCCAGACCAACAGACAGAGGATCCCTGCAGTGGTCAGGATGTCAGATGGTGTGAAATCCTGTTGGGAAAAAAGGGAAGAGGGAAGGAACGAAATTGCAATTGTCACTCCTTGAGTGGTGATGTTTGATTCTCCTGAAGGTGGTAAACGAATGAACAAATGAATGAGTGAGTGGCTCAGCTCCTGGAGGTGAGTTGAAGCCTTTGGAGAATTTAGGTGAAGGGTGACGTAATGATACATTTTAGAAATGTTCATCATTCCACCTGCAGAGACAGAGTCTGGGAGTGGGGCCGCTGGTGGCTTTCAGGCCTGTTAGAACTTTGAGTCCAGGGCCAAAACCACATTTCTAAGCAAAACACCCTTGGAACTTCTTTCAAAGTGTCCAGAAAAGGGGGTGGAGGGACTGAAGGAAGTTGTTCAATTTGTTCAGCCCTGTGAGATGTAGACATCACGTTCCTTCTGCATTTGTATTATTATTGCCATCATAAATGGTTATTTAGAACTGCATGTTGATAGTGTCTCAGAGGTTCGCAGAACTGGCGTTCAGCAGAATAGAACTTAATAAATGCTGATTCATGGATGCAGAATCGAACACACTCATGCTGTCAACCTGTAAAACAAGCCCCTGAATCTTCCCACAGTGCTCGTAGGAGCGAGTTCTGGGCCCTCCAAAGGTCTGGCAGTGTTAGTAAGCAGTCTAGGACAGTATGACATCAGGTTGCCACGGGAAGGCCCTGTTGGGATTTGCAGGCGGGAGGGCGGTGGAAGGGTGTCCAGGCAGAGGAAACAGGAAATGTGGCAGGGAAGCAGAGTTCATGTGATGGTCAGGAAGGGAGGGGAGCAAGAAAGAAGGCGGGAGAGAGAAGACCAGAAGTCTGAGCTGCGGCCACCGCGCAGGCCTGGACTCCTACAAGAGGGAACTTGGTGCGAGCCTCTAAAGGGCTTTAACCTGCAATTAATGACATGGTCGCCAAATGACTCCTGTGGGCAAGAGAATGGGTGGTTTGTGGGGGGGGCACATGGGTTGGCAGCCCATGGAGATCCCAGGTGAGAAATGGCACCAGCTCAGGGCACCAGCGATGGGATGAGAGCAGGCAGATCTGAGCCCCCTCGGGGTGGGATGGGGGATATTTGGTGGATGGCTATGAAGGGCTGGCCAGGCACTTGGCTATTCCGATGCTGGTGGCATCTTTCTCCTGAAGCTGAGGACCCTGGAAGGGGCCAAGGCTCTTACAGGGCCCTTGACACTGGCTGAGTTCCCCTCCCCGGCCATCTGCTTCTCTGCAGCAGCATGAGTTTCTGGAGAAGGACAACCTCACCCTGCGGAAGGAGATCCGGGCCCTGCAGGCCGAGCTGGCGTGGTGGAGCCACACTCTGCATGTGCACGAGCGCCTGTGCCCCATGGATTGTTCCTCCTGCTCAGCTCCAGGGCTCCCGGGCTGCTGGGACCAGGCTGAGGGGCTCCTGGGTCCCAGCCCACAGGGACACCATGGCTGCCCGGAGCAGCTGGAGCTGTTCCAGAGCCTGGACTCCTGCTCCCCAGCTCAGCCGCTCTCTCCAGGTCCACATTCTCATGATTCACCCGGCCTCCTCCAGTCCCCTCTGCCTTCACTGTCGCTTAGCACCACGGTGGTTCCCAAACCTCCTGTCCAGCTGTCCCCCAGCCCTCTCCTGTTTTCTTCACACACTGGCTTCAGCCTGCTGAGGTCTTCCTCTAAGCTCAGTGCCCTCCAGCCCAGCCCCACGGCCCAAACTTCCCCTCCACAGCCCCTCGAGCTGGAGCACCCCGCCAAAGGGAAGCTGGGGTCCTCTCCCAACAACTCTTCCTCTGCCCTGGGGCTTGCGTGTTTGCAGAGCAGAGAACGCAAACCTGCTCTCTCAGCAGCCTCTTGGCAAGGGCAGGGTGTCGATCCCAGCTCTCACCCTCTCCTGGCCTTTCCTCTGCTCTCCTCTGCTCAAGTCCACTTCTAACCTGGTCCTTGGAGCTGGATTGGCCGCTTCTTTGGGCTCAGGAAGCAGCCTTAACACACAGGCATCTCCTCCCTTGCTACTGAGGGCTGCCCTGCATGACTGACCAGCTGGTCCAGGATTTCACGGTGGAAAGGAAGCCATCACTGATGCCTCCCACTGTGACAGACCCTGTCACCGTTAATATCTTGTTTCAACTTTACACTTGACCTGAAAAACTGCAATTATCACTCCACTTTTTCAGATGAGGAAACAGGCTCAGGGAAGCCAAATGACAAATCCAAGGTCACAAAATCTTTCCTGGGGCCTGAAGCACCACCCTCTGCTCCTCCTCCTCCTATCCTGGCACAGGCAGATTAGGCGCTGAAATCCTGGAAACTGAGGGCTGATGTGAGAAGGTTTGTGTGCTGGGAGCAGGAAAGGGCTCTCCCTGCTGCTTTGTGATTCCAGGGCCAGAGCCCTGCAGTCCCAGCAACCCTGACCCAGCTGGGGCAGGTCCAGATTGGGCAGAGGCCAAGCAGCAGCTCTGAAGTGGACTTTTGCTTTCCCTTCCCCTAGTAGTGTTTTCAGTGCCAAGAAGCTGAACCTGGCCAGGGGCAATGGCTCATGCCTATAATCCCAGCACTTTGGGAGGCTGATGCAGTTGGATCACCTGAGGTCGGGAGTTTACGACCAGCCTAACCAACATGGAGAGACCCTGTCTCTACTAAAAATATAAAATTAGCCAGGCGTGCTGGTGAATGCCTGTAATCCCAGCTACTAGGGAGGCCGAAGCAGGAGAATCCCTTGAACCTGGGAGGTGGAGGTTGCATTGAGCCGAGATAGTGCCACTGCACTCCAGCCTGGGCAAGATCGAAACTCTGATTCAAAAAACAAAGAGCCTGAACCTGTGGGCTGGAGCTGGGGAGAGGCCTAGAACAGGCCCATCTAGGATTTCTACAGCCTGGGTACCCATAGCCACACCAAGGCTTCTGGAAGATTCTGCAGAGTCAGCTCTCCAGGCTGTTCCCAAATAGCTCCCTGCCTCCCCACTGCCCCTAAAGCCACAGCAGAAGACCCATTCATCTCATAAACAAAATGCAAGAGGAAAGAATAAGGAAGGACCCTGTGCAATGTTATTTTCAAGCAGTGATGGACTTACACCTGACAGCAGGGAGGCTACACCTTTCCTGGTAGCACCCACCGCTGTATGGCCCCCAGGCCCCCATTGCCCTCAGACCCCTCCTAAGCAGTTTCCTCATTGCTCTTTGGCCTGGACTGATGGCAGGAAGAGCAGGGCCCAGGACCAGGAGGGGGCTCAGTGATGGTGTCTGCTTCGGGAAGGGGTTTTGTACTCTGACTCCAGGATAATCACTCTAAGGGGGGTTGAGGGGAGAAACCCTGGCTCTTCACCCAGGTTTCACACACACGTAAATGAAACACTATGTTAGTATTTAACACATTCCTGGATGCTGAGCACAAGCCTTGGCACATACGTGATGGCAAATAAAGTGTTTTGCAATCTTTTCTGCTTTGCCTAGTTGCTTCAAGCTCTGGTTGTAATCCATAGAGTCTTTGAAAGAAGAGAGAATAATAGAGATGGGCAACCCCTCATGAACCACCGGATTAATCTCCCTCCCATACTACAGATGAGGAAACCGAGGCTCAGAGATGAGATGGACTTGCCCAAGTGTATTAGTATTCTTAGAGAAATAGAACCAAGAGGGGTGTGTGTGTGTGTGTGTGTGTGTGTGTGTAGAGAGAGAGAGAGAGACAGAGATTTATTAATTATTTTTGTTTTTGAGACGGAGTTTCTCTCTTGCTGCCCAGAATGGAATGCAATGGTGCAATCTCAGCTCACTGCAACCTCCATCTCCTGGATTCAAGTGATTCTCCTGCCTCAGCTTCCCGAGTAGCTGGGATTAGAGGTGCCTGCTACCATGCCGGTAATTTTTGTATTTTTAGTAGAGATAGCATTCCACCATGTTAGGCTGGTCTCAAACTCCTGACCTCAGGTGATCCGCCTGCCTCGGCCTCCCAAAGTGTTGGGATTACAGGCGTGAGCCACCACATCCCACTGAGAGAGGTTTATTTTAAGAAATTGGCTAGGCTGGGCGTGGTAGCTCATGCCTATAGTCCCAGCACTCTGGGAGGCTGAGGCGGGTGGATCACATGAGGTCAGGAGTTCAAAACCAGACTGACCAACATGGTGAAACCCCATCTTTACTAAAAATACAAAAATTAGCAGGGCATTGTGGCATCGACCAGTTATCCCAACTACTAGGGAGACTGAGGCAGGAGAATCCCTTGAACCCGGGAGGCAGATGTTGCAGTGAGCCAAGACTGCACCATTGCACTTCAGCCTGGGCAACAAGAGTGAAACTCCATCTCAAAAAAGAAAGGAAATGGACTCATGTAATTATGGAGGTTGGCAAGTCCAAATTCTTCAGGGTGAACTGTCAGGCTGGAGCCTCAGGAAAGTGCTGCTGTTGCATTTCAGGTCCACAGGCCACCAGCTGCAGAATTACTCTGGCTTGGAGAAGGTCAATTTTTTTGTTCTATTCAGGCCTTCAATTGATTGGATGAGGCCCACCTACATTATGGAGGGCAACATGCTTTATTCAAAGCCCACCAATTTTAATGTTGATCTCATTCCAAAACACATTCACAGAAACATTAAGAATAATGTTTAATCACATATGTGGGCACTGTGGCCCAGCCAAGAGGACACACACAAGTAACCATTGTGCCAGGTTCACACAGCAAAGGGAAGTCACAGGGCTGTGGATGGCAGCATTCACGGTCACCAGCCGATTCAGGGAGAACAAACTGGTGGGAGGGAAGCCGAGATGCTGTTGATTGGAGGTGGGCTGGAGTCTGGGGCAGAAGTCAACATGCTCTGAGCACGAGGACTCGGTGGGTGACGAGGACACCATGCTGCGCTGTGCCTGTCTACCCTAAAGTGTAGCACGCTCTGTGCTGTTTTAGTTGCATTCACTCAATGATGCCTCTAGTAACCCTGTGACGTATGCTTCTCGTCCCCAAAGAAATTTTCTTTGAGCTAGAGCTGTAAGAAAAAGAGAGAAAGGGAAACTGAGGCCTAGAGGTGGTATGTAATAAGTCCAAGGTCACAAAGCTATGAAACTATATAGACTTGATTCAATAATCAGGATCTCTTAGCCACAGGCAACCCAACCTTCCTGGACTCTCCTTGGAGGCCGGGACTGCAGGAGCAGCACATGCTAACAGATATGACCCAAGAAGGTAAAACTCTACCCCACCCTCAAACAAATAGATGGGAGTGATTCGATTAATGCTGATATGCTCACGTGATGGACTACTGAAAAGCTGAATAAAGAATGCTTGGCTGGGCACGGTGGCTCACACCTGTAATTCCAGCACTTTGGGAGGCCAAGGCAGTTAGGTAATAAGGTCAGAAGTTGAGACCAGCCTGGCCAACATGGTGAAACCCTGCCTCTACTAAAAATACAAAAATTAGCTGGGCATGGTTTGGTGAGCCTATAATCCCAGCTACAGCTACTCGGGAGACTGGGGCAGGAGAATTGCTTGAACCTGGGAAGCAGAGATTGCAGTGACACACAAACACACAAAAAGAATGCTTTGGGCCAGGCACAGTGGCTCACGCCTCTAATCCCAGCACTTTGGGAGGCTGAGGCTTGTGGATCACTTGAGGTCAGGAGTTCAAGACTAGCCTGGGCAACATGGCAAAACCCCGTCTCTTCTAAAAATACAAAAATTAGCTGGGCATGGTGTCACATGCCTATAATCCCAGCTACTCAGTAGGCTGAAGCAGGAGAATCGCTTGAGCCTGGGTGGCAGAGGTTGCTTTGAGCTGAGATCGAGCCACTGCACTCCAGCCTGGGTGACAGAGTGAGACTCTGTCTCAAAAAATAAATAAATAAAAGAATGCTTTGAAGACTGTTTAATGTGGTCAGAAGATGCAACGTATTACGTAGAAAAATAGAATATTTAACTGTCACTCTAGTTTGACATTACATTTGTTTAAAATCATAAACAGAAAAAAGGGTGGGAGGAAATGTAGATTCCTGAGGAGGGATAAGTGCTAATTTCTGTGAGTCCCTAAATGTGTAAACACAGCTACCACTGAAGCAAAAACCTCCCGCATGGCCGAAAATGTCCTAGAAATATATGTCTGTGTGCATTCATGATCTGTTGCTGCATAATAAACTACTCCCAAACTTAGTGTCTTTTTTTTTTTTTTGAGACAGAGTCTCACTCTGTTGCCCAGGCTGGAGTGCCGTAGCACAATCTCGGCTCACTGTAATCTTGGCTCACTGCAATCTCCACCTCCCAGATTCAAGCAATTCTCCTGCCTCAGCCTCCTGAGTAGCTGGGATTACAAGTGACTACCATCACCTCCAGCTAATTTTTGTATTTTTAATAGAGACAGGATTTTGTCATGTTGGCCAGGCTGGTCTTGAACTCCTGACCTCAGGTGATTCACCCGCCTTGGCCTCTCAAAGAGCCGAGATTACAGGCGTGAGCCACCACACCCTACCCCCTTATGTCTTAAGTAACAAACACATACCATCCCAGGGTCTGGGTTGATAGCATTCATCCCAGAGTCTTTTTTTTTTTAGATGGAGTTTCACTCTTGTCGCCCAGGTTGGAGTGCAATGGCATGATCTTGGCTCACTGCAACATCCACCTCTCAGGTTCAAGCAATTCTCCTGCCTCAGTCTCCCAAGAAGCTGGGATTACAGGCGCCCACCACCACACCCATCTAAATTTTGTATTTTTAGTAAAGACGGGATTTCCTTGTCCAGGCTGGTCTTGAACGCCTGACCTCAGGTGGTCTACCCGCCTTGGCCTCCCAAAGTGCTGGGATTACAGGTGTGACTCACACCATGCCCAGACTCATTTACCATCTTCTATTCACTAGAGGCAAGTCACTAGGTTTAGCCACACTCAAGGGGAGAGGATCACACAAAGGCGTGAAAACCAGGCAGCGGGCTCCTGGGGGCTGTCCTGGAAGCTGCCTACCACACTGGATAAGAACCAGCGCCTTCTCTGGCTCTCTTCTCATTCCCTTCATCACCAGCACTGGTCATTGGCTTTCTTTGGAAAGGGTATTTCAGAAGGAAACACTCTGTATTCCTTTACAAGAGTGGCAATGTCCCTAGCAGTGAGCAGAGATCTGGTGAGTTCTGGATGAGAGAGCTGGAAACTTTCTTTGTGCTCTCACTGAGTGGGACCAGAGAACTCCATCATCCAGAGAGGGGCCTCGCAGAGTCTTTTCAGTTGCATCAGCTGGAATAGGGGAAACAATGGTTGAGGTTGAGAAATTGAGGCTTAGGATAGAAGGAATCTCTCTGGTAAGTAAAAAAGTGAAACAGACGCAGAAGCCAGGGTCATGAAAGCACCACCAGCAGCAAAGTGGCCTTGAGAAATCTTTCTTTCTCTCTTGCCTTTCTTTCTTTCATTGAGTCATTCTGTAATTCATTCAGTCACATTGTCAGTCAGTTAATACATATTAAGCAACTGCTATGTGCCAATCCCTGCTCTTAAGGTACTAATAATAAAATCAAGAGGACAGAAGATAAATCACAAATAAGTAAGATAATTCCAAGAACGTTATGATGTATAAAGAAGTAAAACAGAGGAAGTTTGACAATGACTGGGTGAGAATGCTGCTTTTTCTTTTTTTTGAGACTGAGTCTTACTCTGTTGCCTCTATTCCCAGGTTGGAATGCAATGGCATGATTTCAGCTCACCGCAACCTCCAACTCCCTGGTTCAAACGATTCTCCTGTCTTTGCCTCCAAAGTAGCTGGGATTACAGGCACGCACCACCATGCCCAGCTAATTTTTGTATTTTCAGTAGAGGTGGGGTTTCAACACGTTGGCCAGGATGGTTTCAATCTCCTGACTTTGTGATCTGCCCGTCCCAGCCTCCCAAAGTGCTGAGATTACAGGTGTGAGCCACCGTACCTGGCTTGGGTGCTGCTTTTCCAGAGAATTCAGGGAAAGGAGTCAAGGACAGTGGCTCACACCTGTAATCCCAGAATTTTTGGAGGCTGAGAAAGGAGGATTACTTGAGCCTAGGAGTTCCAGATCAATATGGGCAACATAGTGAGATCCCATCTCTATAAAAAAAAATACTAAAATTAGCTGGGTATGATGGCGCACACCTGTAGTTCCAGCTACTTGGGTGGCTGAGGTGGGTGGATTGCTTGAGCCAAGGAAGTCGAGGCTCTGCAGTGAGCCACGATTGAGCCATTGCACTCCAGTCTGGGGGACAGAGTGAGATCCTGCCTCAAAAAAAAAAAAAAAAAAAAAAAAGAGAGAGAGAATTCAAGGGAAGGATCTTTAAGGAGGTGTCATTCAGGCTGAGATCTGAATGACAATAGGGAGTCAGCCATGCAAAGATTTAGGGAAAGAATATCCCAGGCAGAGAGCATGTGCAGAACCTCTGGGTCTGGGAAAAGCTAAACGTGTTGGAGGAATAGAAAGGAGGAGGCCAGCTGGGCTCGGTGGTGCACACCT